TTGCTTGTTACGAAAGGTGCTATATAAGTATGTTCAGCGCGCGCAGAAATCTTCTCGGAGTAGGTTCATTGGGTTGGGGAAAAGAAAATGCAGTGTGCCACATAACTTGCACTAGCAAGACACCATCAATTTTTTTAGTAGGTCATATTTGATGTAAGTATTAGTTCATTTTGATCAAACACTTGCACTTTGAAAATTTGTAGTAGTTGTAAATAGTGCTGTCTTCCATAAAATGACCCTAACATCTATTAGTCAATTGCTCAGACATGAATGAGGCAATAATGCTCTATTCTTTTTGGTGATGTGAGCACAGAAGTTACTCAATAAATCTAAACACTGATAAATTTTCCAGGGATGATGCCACCACAAGCGGGGATCCAGGCTACAAGGAGAGGAAGCTTATTGTATTTGAGAGCTGCTTACGCCTGTTGTTTGCAGTATGCCAGACGTGCCACAGCAGCTGCTCCGTGTCTATGAAAGTAAGAGGCACGCTCCTGATTGTGCGCACCTCTTGTCCTGCTAAGCGCACACAAGCGCACACACCGCTGGGACATCCAGCCGTGCATCAAAAGAAGGGCTGTTGGAGACCTGCTGCTCTCATCGCTCGTCCTGTTTACGGGTGCTTCTCCAACAAGAACCCTGCGGCTGTGGCGTCTCATGAGTATCCAGGTCATCTGCAGGAAGACCTTCGTCAATTACCAGCGGGTCATCTTGATTCCAGCAGTCGAACAGGTGATTATGATGCTATCTGATTATCTTGACCTGATGTGCTTCTACATTCGCATGCAGAGTTAACACAAAATATATTTATGGTTTTCGAGAAATAAAAGTTACAATAAACATATCGAAAAAAAATGTTTTCCTAGCTGCGCAATGTGCGAAAGATCGTCTGATTTTACGTGATCGCCTTATGTTGCATAATCAGATAATGTTATGCAATCACGTATGGTTGCGTGATTACAGAACGGTAATTGACACCATGCAGTTGAATGATTCAAACTGATTTATTGGGATATAGCTGGGTCTGCCAATCATAACCGCTGCTTTTCCCGCTTTGCTAGTGATGTTTCTGCTGCTGTTCGAAACACACAGCTAAAAAAGTATTTTTCTCTACGTAGCTCGTGGCATATGTGCACTATTGGGCAAGGCATGTGGCAATTGCCTATAATTTTCATTTGGCTCTGAAACAATTTAATTGTCATATTGGTGCTTTCATCTCACAATTAAAATATGGTGACAGAGTATGTGTAGTGAGTGGTGGGAACAGAAGCTCATAGACCCAACGACAATCCCACCAAATCGCACTGCACACTCTGTGTCACCAGACGTAAACCGGAGGATTTTAATACAGAATGTGTTTGCGGCTGGCTGCTAACACTCCGTATAATGCTATTCTGAAAGGGAAGCCTGAAACGAAAGTTAGTTACGGAAGCGACGCAAAATCACCCTTTTGAAAAAGAAAAAGACAGGATGTGCCAGGTTTCGAACCAGGTTCCCTCCAGTCGTTAACGTGATGCTATATTCGCGGTCAGCTTTCTGCGGATATCCGAAGAGAGGAGGAAAGCACGTCTAGAGAGGTTGGCGCACCCTCTCCCCTAGCATTGGCTGCATTGCCACAGAAAGCTGACCGCGAGTATACACCATCTGTTTTAGCAGCGCAAGAGGGAAAAGGGGATCGTCCCGCAGCTGTGGACGCTTTTGCACGTATGGTGGGAGTGCGCTCAACCAGAACAGACACCAACTTTGCATTCCACTCACGCTGGAGGCAGGGCTGTCTTTTGTAGATTATGCACAATGATATTTGCAACAAATGATTTGATTGGACCATTAAGGCACAAACAGTGAGGCGACACATAGCACCAGTGTCCTGAATAGAGCCTACGCAGGCTGCCACAGCTTACTGATGACAAAACCTCCGGAAACACTGACGGACACTTTCAAAACCGGGGGATGCGTGTTGTAAATCACCCTTTTCGAGCCAACGACTGAAAAGGTATACTATACGGTGACAAGAAGATAATCCAGATGATGCTTCACCTCCAGCACGCGCCCACTGCCTTTCGACGAGTTTTGGCAGCGCGTACGGTGAGGTGGCGGTATACACGTAGAAAGCTCGCACTGGAGGCGGAACATCTCCCTGATTCTCAGCCTGTCGCGGTCTATAGCTATAAAAAGTACCGGGTGTTTGGGAAAAACACAAACCCGGCTTTTCGCACCGCAAAATTAAACTAGACATTGCGGGGAGCTCCAACTCCGTCAAAACGTAGCCCCAGCCGTTCGAGCAAGATGCCGAAATGTCGACCCTTACCATTACCGGAATAAAAAGGTAGAGGTAAAAAACTGTTTTCGCCTATGAGAGGACGCCGTCCGTGAGAAGCCTCAGACGAAATGCCTCTGTTTGTGACCGCATCTCACAGATGGCGCAACTTGTCCTCGAAACTTCCCGCGCTCTCCCGCTTGCCTAATCCGCAAGATTGGCGGCAAAGTTAAAATACCTCCGAAAGTATTGTATTCTTGCCCCCCACTTTGTCGGTTATTAAGAAAAGGAAACAAACCTAAATAAAAGCGCTGAAATTGTAGTCACTCGTGCTTTTTTATGAAAATGTGTGCCTATAAATACCGAAGCAGACGTCGTCTGCTTCTGTCTTCCCGAACGCCGACAGTCATCTACGCGCACCTTACGGCCACATTCAAAGTCGGTGTTCTGGATGTGGGCGGGGCGCTTTGCAGAAGAATGTAGTGTCAAGAACAAAACGCACGTCTCCCACATATCTCCTCAAGAGGAAGAGCTCCGCTTCGCCATCGTCGGGGCCTTCGAGGCAGATCCCCACTTGTCTCGGTGAAGAGCCGCGCGTTGGTTCGGAGTATCCACGCACACCGTGCGCAAAGCTATGGGCAAGATCCGCCCGTACAAACTTGGCCTGATTCATGAGTTTTTGCCCGGAAACTACGAGAACCGGCTCGAGTTTGGCCGAGGCAAGCTCCTCAGGATTGCGCAAGATCCATCACATCTGCAGTTTCTGTTGTTTAGTGATGAGGCGACATTTTCGCTGCACTGGCAGGTAAACACACAGAACTGCCGCTATCGGAGTTCGACGAATCCGCACTGGGCTCTCAAGAAAGCTTTGCAGTCACCGAAGGTAACAGTTTGGTGCGGAATCTGAAAAGAAGGCGACGTTGGCCCCTCTTTCTTCAACAATAACGTAACTAAAACCACCTACCTGAAGATTATGCAGGATCAGTTCTTTCCCGAGTTGAAAGCACTGCAACGCAGCGGAACGTATGCATTTTTATGACTGATGGTGCGTCATTCCACTGGTCGACGAGTGTAAGGCACTGGGTGGACAACACCTTTCCAGGACGCTGAATGGGCCGGGGATCGCCGAACATGCTGTGGCAACCCCGATCGCCGGATCTCACGATATGCGACTTTTTTGTTTGGGGGTTTGTGAAGTGCCAGGTGTACTAGGGCAGCATCCCCACACTCGACGCCTTAAAGCAGCGCATCAAAGCAGCGTTCGCTCTCTTCATGGACGAGATGTGAGCTGCTGCATTTGGAGAGTATACGTGACAAGGCTTGGCCTCCGCACTTGGCGCCTGGTTCCAACCGAATTCCAAATTAGAGCCGTAGTGCCCTGCCTAGAACTGACATGACAGCAGTCTACGGAACGAACCCACACCTTCCCGTCAATTTTATGGTTTATTTATTTTAATACCCTGAGAAATTAAGGCCCTTTTTAGGGTTGTCAAATACTGTCGTCACGGAGGCTAGACACTCTTGACGTGCCTTCTCTCCCGTGTCTCTAAGTGCCCATGGAAATTGGATTCTTTGTGTGTGCCCTCTTCTTTCCTAAGATATAGCTCACTTTATTACCTTCATCTCACACAGTCCGGTACCGCATATAACACCTGCAAATCAGTGAAAGGCTCACGTCACAACAACAAAAATGAAGAGGCAGCTGGTGAAGCAACAAAACATTTTTATCCAAAATAAACAAAAGCATTATACGAATAAACAACTTAGCGAGGCTAACCCGAGTTAAAAAAAAAAAAAAGGTCCATTAACAACCTGGAATTGTACCAAACCGAACGGAGCACGTGAGAAACAGTGTTGCGGTGCTGTGGCGCAAACCGCCAGACCGAAACCGAAACTATCCAAAAACTTCGGCCGATTGAGGTGCCATCTGTGACATGCGGTCACAAACAGAGGCATTTCGTCTGCTGCTTGTAACAAACGGCGTCCTCTCCTAGGCGAAAACAGTTTTTTACCTCTAACTTTTTATTCCGGTAATGGTAAGTGTTCACATTTTGGCAACTTGTTCGAACGGCTGGGGCTACGTATTGACGGAGTTGGAGATCCCGGCAACGTCTAGTTTATTTTCGCGGTGCGAAAAGCCGGGTTCGGATTTCTCACAAACACCCGGTACATCTCGCAGACTCACTATACTCCATCTCAGTAGTTCCCCGCTGCAGGGCCAAAGCTACTGAGCGTACAAAGGCGGCAATCTTGCGCGGCGGAATATAGTACTTGTAGTAAGGGTTGTTTCCTTGTCTGTATCACCATAGATACAGTACTGGCATGTACAGTAATGCTGTAATACTCCTCTGTGCCTGATAACGACGATAATTTAAGCTGTTCGGCTTTGATATTTCCGTATATATTTTTATTTTGTGCAAAAACATCAAGAAATAGCCCTTTATGTTTTCGTTTATTGTTTGGCAAAAAGGCGATAAAGTGATACTCCATAATTAATTATCTACCAATATACTGTTTATAAATCGCAGTAAGTGACTTCGTCGATAGCTTAATCTATATGAGTAATTAAAAGCCCGGTCACAACAGAGCGGTACACTGCAACGGGGTGGTTCTTTGCCCAAGCCGCTTTTCGCAAAATGGCGGCATGCGCTGAATCGCCTGTGAGGTACCAATCAAATGTGCTTTATTATCTAAAACAAGCGAAGCAGTTGGCGTTGAACGTGCTCGGAGTAGTGCAAAAATAATGCGGCAAGGGAGCGACGGTAAGTTCCATAGTTAAGAGAACAGTAGCCCTTACGAACATGAGCGAGCGCTCCCTTTACAAATGGGCCCCCGAGCACAAGGCAGGAGGCAAGGTGTTATCGCCGAAAAGCCTTTGGCGTGGTGGCAGAGGACGCGAAAGACAGAAGAAACGGGACGATCTTGACCTCGGTGTGCTGCGGAGGGTTGTTCACGGCTTTTTTTCGGAGGAACGAGACTCCGACGGTCGCCAAACTGGCGCGACACTTCGAGCTGGATGACGAACTTCCATCCGTGTCAGTGGCGACAATGCATCAAATGTTGAAGAAGCTCGGCTTCAAGTACAAGAAGCGGTCCAGAAGTGCACTGTTGATTAAGGCGACGAATATTGTGCAGTGGCGGTGCAAATACCTTCGCGAAATGAGCGAGCTTCGAAGACAAAAGAAAAACATCTTTTTTACACCAACGAGACATGGGTCAACGCCGGTCACAAGGTGGGACAAGTATGGGTTGACACGGATGTCACGAGCGCGCCTGAGGCAAAACGTTCCGGGCTCTCCACAGGACTGCAGAACTCCACTGGCAAGGGAGGCAGGCTGATTGTGACTCACTGTGGCAACGAGAACGGGTTTGTTCTAGGTGCCGGAGAAGTGTTCTGCGCGAGAAAAGGCACGGAGGACTACCACGACGAAATGGATAGAGTCCACTATCACAAGTGGTTCACTCAGAAACTGCTCCCTGCTCTGCCACCAGGAAATGTTATTTTCATTGATAGTGCACCTTTTCATTCTGTGAAGGAAGAGAAGGTGCTCTGCATGTCAAGTCTGAAAAAGGACATTGAAGCACGGTTTTCAAAGAAAGGTGTGACCTGGAGCACCGATATGGTCAAGGCAGAGCTCATGAAGCTTGTAAATGCCGTCAAGGTGGAGGGCGATACTTATCGCATCGACACGATCGCCAGCGAGGCAGGTCACACTGTGGTACGTCTGCCACCGTACCATTGCTAACTTAACCCAGTTGAACTTGTGGGGAGCAATGTGAAAGGCTTTGCTGCCTCTGCAAACACTACATTCAAAATTAAAGATTTGGAGCCATTTGTCTGGAAGGGGATACGACAAGTGACAGCCGAGAAGTGGAAAAACGTTGTGAGTCATGTCGTTGACGAAGAAAAAATGATGAGAAAAATGGACCATATCATCGACGATTTTGTCGATCGTTAGCGACCCTTGATTATTGGTCTTGCTGAAGACGCCACAAGCTCTAATGAAACAAGCACGGATGACGAAAATATGGGGTGTCAACCTCTGTGACGGGCTCTAATCGAGGGTGATGTGCACCGCCCAGCATAAACTCATATTTTCAAGCTGATTAAACAGTAGATGTACAAGTGTGGGCAGATTGTTGCAGCTGCGACAAGGCATCTCACCAAAGCATGTGTTTTTTTTAACAGCAGCTATCAGAGTCAACATCAACAGCTCATGAAGCAGCAGACGCAGAAATACGAAGCAAAATCTGGCATGCAAAGCCAATCACGGCCCAGCACAAACCCATCTTTATTTATTGACGGTTGCTGGCGTGCGTCGCGGCTTAAAACGCGTCGTGCATACATCTACGCCGGCCTTGTATCAGTGACGGAGCACCAGTAGCATGGCCGATACGTTTCGAAAATCTGACAATTGAGATCATAAGAGACGATTTAGCATGCGGGTACCTGATCTAACGCTGTGTAACACCAGGTTTCCCAAAACCTTTCTGCCTTTTAGAGAACAGCTCTTGGGCGCCCATTTCCGGCTTGAGCGGCGTCGCCGTCGCCGTCGGCGTAACCGCGCGTTGCATTATGGGACGTTTCCCATAATGACATCACACGTGACGTCACGTCTGACGTCACGAGGGTCAGGAGTAGAGATGTAGATTTTCATGAAATTTTGAGGGGCGTGAAAAAAGGGTTTTTTTCATGTTTTTTTCTTTAGAAAAATACGAAAAATTGAAAAAAAAGACGATTGCACACAGAGCTGTGAAAAACCGGATGCATTTATCTGTTAAGACTGGAAATAATTTAATTGTTACATTACTGCAACACAAATGCCCCAGGCTCCAGCAGAACTTCCGGTTTCTAAATCTAGGTATGATTTCACGTCAAGGCATTCATTTCCCATCCAAGCGTGAAGACTATATCAATTCGTGTCCGATAATTCCAATTCGTTTCCGCTTGACGCGTCAATGCTTCGTTGTGCAGCGGACGAAGCCTTACGGACTTCAAGGTTGGAGTGCACGTACACAAGTTTTTGCACGCGATGCCCTGCGAGCCTGTTGCGTAGCTTGGTGTTCACATTTCCGATCTCGGACCAGTTTCTTTCAGATGCCGCAGAAGAAGGGGGAATGTTCACTACGCGAGAGGCAAGGGGACTCAACGGTTGGTTGAAGCAAAGTCCTTGCCACCACGTGGATGGATCCAGGTGCTTCGCAGGCTCCCAAAATCCTTCTTTTGACCAAATTCGCTTGCAGGTACTGTATTCTGTGACATTAGACAGAAGTTTCTTGACGTCCAGCGAGAGGTGGACGTCGCCTCCGCCGGCGCGCGGCAGCGTTTCACTGTTTGTGAGCTCTGTTTCTTTTTTCTTTTTTTTTTCAATTTTATTCTGGTTGATAAAAACGAAAAAAAACTATTTTTTTCGATATTTTCAATGTTCTTTTTTAACCGCTTACATCTCTAGTCACCAGGGGCACCAGGGTCACAAGTGACGTCACTCGTAACCGCGAGCTGCATTATAGAACGTTTCCCATATTGACGTTACACGTGAAATCACGTGTGAAGTCACGAGGGTTCTAGGGTCACTCGTGAAGGTCACGAGGCCTTCACGAGTAACGTCACAGGGGTCACTAGTGTCACGAGTGACATCTCGAGGGACGTCACGAGGGTTATGAGTGACGTCACGAGGAAGGAGGGAGGAGAAGGAGGAGGGAGGAGGAGAGGGTGCGGAGCAGGAGGAGGGGCATACACTCCTCTCCGTGCCCTTCCCTCCTCCTCAAGAGCGGCGCTCTAATTTGGCATTACAGGAAGTTGTAAGCGTCTTTCATTTTTTACCTGAATCCATCAACAGTGATTAGGAATGCTAGCTGAATCCAGCTCATAAATTGGATACAAGTGCTGATTTACTCGGAAACCATCAGTATGTCTGCAAATATATTGCTCGCATTTGCTAAATGAAAGAATCTTAAGAATACCTATGGGTGGTGCAAGCTGTAAGCGTGTGCCACGAGTGTGATGAACATTCTATATGAGTCAGCAAAGACTATTCACAGCTTGTTCTAGCAACAGTAGAGAACAGTGGACGCACAAGTGCTTCTGGTACCTTATTACAACTCACATGAGTTCTTGTTTGCTGGTGAAACAAGGAAGGATGCTGACTCAGGGTTTTGTTGTGCGCTTAGTTTTAGTTAACTCTGAAAAGGAAAAATGTGTTCATCTTAAATTATCATTCTATATTTTATTGTGTGGGTATTAAGTCAAAGCCAAAGAGTGATTTCATAGGCCTTTTAATGTATAACGACTACAAAAGCTGCTGACGGCATGCATCTCAGTGCTTGCTTTTTCGGTCTTTGTTTTCACCCATCACACCATTACCTTAAACTGAGATTAGGCCCTTTTGATTCTTACATGTAACCTACATTCTACCTGCTATGTAATAGAAATGCTGGTAAAGGTTTTGAGTCCGACTTTGTACTCTGATTTGGACATTGCGGGAGTGACTGGCCCCACTGTTTGCGTATAGACCGTTGTCAATATGGTAAATGAGTTTAGTGTTTTCCATACGCATAACGCTGTTTCGAAATGGGCAAACGAAGACCCGAGCAGATGGGATAATAGTGCATGACGACAATAAAAACGAAACCTGTTGTAGCCACAAAAAGAAAAACTAAAATGTGCTAGACACCAGGCTAAACTAGAAACTCGAGAAAGACAATATTTTATTGTGGTTGTCAAGCCGTCAGCATTATCATAAATATGAGCAAACACCCGCCAAACTTGTCGATGAAATATGCACATGTTTTAACATTTTTATTAGTACTGACATGAGCACATGAAAGCAAGCATCGTTCACATCCGTTCGAAGAAGATGCGTGTTTCGTATGTTATCTTTTTTTCTTTTGCGTCTAGGTCCCACGCGAAGGGAAGTTTGGTTATGTATGACCTTTGTTTAGTATTACAGTAACCCTCGGAGCTCGGTGAATTATCGACTTCAGTGACTTATCCTCGTGACAGTGTGGTCTGTTACAGGGGCCCTGCAATCGTATTTAAGCGTCCACTTTTTTTGCGGTTTCCTCCTCTCTTGGAGTTCGGGCAAGCCAGCGGGCACGAAGAGAGTAACTAAATGTCAGTACGTCATATTTTAACCGGACAACGCGGAAATTTCCTCTACCTACGGAGACGATCCGCGGTGCCGAAAGCGCGCGATATGTGATGTCTTTGGTCCTGAGCTTACTACTGGTCAGAGCCGCTAAAAATTGTTTTTAGTTGAGATACAAAATATAAGTGGAGCGAACCGCTTCAATTACTTACGAAAGTAGTTTTTGTCAGTGTTTTCGATCAGAAAAAAAAATGCAGTTTATAACATACGAAAACAAGAAATGACTCGTCGACATGCCCGCCACCAAACGGTGGAAAAGGCGACGCATACTGGAAAGGGGTAGTGAGATCAGGCACCGACGAGCGGCGAGCGTAAAACGGTTCCGGATGTACGCGGCGGCGCTGCGGTCTATACACCTTTTCTACGTGGGCGCCGCCATCTTCAATTCCGGAACTTCCGGTATGCGTTAAAACGTCGCTTTCTTCTCACCTCAACAGTAGAACGTGGTAACATTTTAATTGCAACCGTCAGTCGTTCTTTTTATTACCCTTCTATACTTTTTTTACTTTTTCGGGGTTGTAACCTCTTGCTTTTTTTGCTTTTTTTTCGGCACGCGTACCGGATAGAGGGACAACGTGACTGGGTGCGAGGCTAAACGAAAAAGGTGTATACGGGCTCGAGGGTCCGACCGGTTCCGGGCGTTCCGAAGGCCTTCGGCGAGGAGGTTTGGCTTGCGGTTTGGCCCTTCGGCGGTATGGCAGCGCGAAGTGGCTCCCATTCTCCTGTCCCGTGTTTGCTGTCGTTTGCGGCCAATGAAGTGTCACGCCGAACTAGTGTTTAATGGCGCAGCAAATGCAATGCGAGCCGCCCTGGCTGCCCGCTTCATACAGCCTATCCAGAATATGCTTTATGGCGCCCTCTCGAGCCGTTGATACGGAGTGCGGCAGCCGTGAGCGCTCGCTGAGCTCACTACCCCTCTTTTAGTTCACGTCACTGAAGCGGCCAAGGACGTCATGAAGGAGGTTATTTTTTGCTTGTTTTTGTAATTTTAATTTGCCTATAACTTTTGAAATAAAGCGAAATTTGAGAAAAGAAAAGTTTCATTAAGTTACAACGTTCAGTGCGCTCAGTTTAGGTGCAAATTAAAAATGAGTAAAAACGTTCTTGCAGGGCCCCTTTAAACATTCACTTTTGGAGCAACTGCATTAGCTCTACCGGACAGGGTCATCGGCTGCTGTCGAGATTAAAGTGAAACGGAGTGCGGGAGGAGCGAACCTTGTCCCCAGCACTTACGCCGCGAGATAAAGATTCATCACGTTGACGCGAGTTTCGGGATAAGGTAATCCCAGTGGCTTTTGTTTTTGCAACAGTTTTACGCCCCCCAGGTACTCCTCAACTAAACGCCGAGGAAGCACTTTCATTTGAAGGTACAAGAAAGCGAGAACGGTGTCGTTCTCAGAGGTCACACTATCTTAGAACAGAGCGTTTGACATCGCGCTATCACTCAAACTGGTCCGGAGACAACGCACCGTGACGTCCGACTGCGAAGTGTCTAGTCAGACCTATTGTCTCGCAGACGTCGGCCATGCTCGGTATCAAGTACGCTACTGTGCTGACGTCATTGCGCGTGAGGATTTCTCTGTTTAAAGTGCAGCTGC